TAAAGCCCGAAGAAGATCTAACTGAAAACAGTATTGTTCGCTTGTATGTCTTGTTCTGATATTAAAAGAATGGGAATATTTAAAGACTTTGACCTATGTATTTGACTTGACAGTCATTCGAGCAGGGTATTAGATAGACTAAATTGTTTTGTTTAATTAGCTGCACAGGATTGATTCTCTAACCGACCAAGCTTGTTTTTTAATTCAGTTTGTGGGTGGTTGAATGCCAGCCACTTTTATTCCTGCATTGTTAAGGATTCTCCTTAAGGCTTCTGACATTCCTTCTTTGTATGGAAGTACTGCTGATGACCTAAATTCCATATTGTTGGTGTTGTCATTATCCTGTGCATGTTTGATATGCATATCATCATTAATATTATTACCATCACTGTCACTATTATTATAATTAATTTTATTTTTAGTTTTACATTTTCCTACATTCTTCCTGATTAATTTATTAGGGTAATTATCAAGTTTTAAAGCTTCTTTCATATAACTGACTTCATATCTTAGATGCTCCTTGGTACTATTTAATTTTTCTGCCTTATCATTTAAACATTTCACCAATTCTAATTTTTACTGACATAGGATGGGATGATCTGAAGTCCAAACATCAGTTTGAATGTGTGGGTTTCCTGTAAGCACTATAGTTTAACTTCCCATCTTCTTACCTTTTAACGCTACAATCTAACATTGGCAGTCCTCCTTCCTGACTTTCCAAATTCATAAGTGAATTGAATTGCCTCCACCTCTGAGTGTTAATGTGTTCGAAAAATCTATCTATATCTTGTGTTCTAAGCACAGTGAATGTGTCATCTACATGCCTCCATCATACTTTTGGGGTGGAGCTGAACGTTTCAATCGCTATGTGTTCCCACCTATCCATGAATATATCTGCCACAAAAGGGTATAGGGAGAGATTGATAACAGAAGCTTTGTTTATCGAATCAACTGCAAACTCGTGTAATAGGAATGATTCAACACCTGTCCAAACCGACACATGGAAAATTCTACTACCCCAATGACGACAAATAGAAGAGAAGAGAGAAAACTATAAAACTCAAGTTTCAAAGTCGTGTGACCATAATTGATATGATTATGAACAATAAATTTTGTTCGAAACGTCATCCAGTAAATAATACTGTTTCACTCGCTGTGTGATACATCTAATAAACAAACTAATATGGAATTACTTACTACCACAGTGGCCTAGTTTTACACATATATTAAAAGTCATAGAGTTACATATTACCCTTCGATTTCTGATTTAAATGCTAATAAATAAATGAATTGGCTTAGATTTTATTCAAAGAGGTGTAGTAAAAGTGAATGCTTCAGAAATTCTACATAAATGTAAAAATGAAATCTGTGTACTCGTTGACTGTAACAGTTCGGGCCATCATACGTGCAGATTTACCTAAGTAGATCATTTTCAATAAAGATGTATTATTCCATCTGAACTTAAAAGAGCGCCTTAGTTAAGATCAATGTCACATGGAGTAGAAAGGCAATAGTAAGAGGGTAGGGAAAATAATAAAACTTAAGAAAATTCGAATTAACAAAAGGTTATGCATCAAGTGTTCAGACAAATTAGCTTCTTTATAGATTCAATGACTGAACAGACTTCTTCAGTATGCAGAATTCAGACGTACCATAATGATTGTCATAGTTCCTGCAGTTCGAAGAAGTTTGATTTGTAATCTGATAGATGCAAATTACTATCCATGCATGTCCTTGAACATTTACCTTAACAGTTTTATTGAGGAGAGAGAAGATACCCTTGCAAAATTATTATGTAACTGCCTAATCTTCAACCTGCTGTACTCTACTAGTCACGGCTTCCCACTGCCTGAATAGGACCAGTCGCTAGTGAGGCAGTAATTCATCGAAGAAGGCATTACGAAATGGTCGCGCTATGTTGTGAATTGGCAGAAGTTAGAATTCATGGGTCGGTCATTGGATCGTGTCCCAGTGGCTCAATGGTCTACGAGCTCGCTAGCCTTGTAACCAGAAGGTCCTGGGTTCGAACCGTGGTGGTGAGTGCGTACTGATGAAGAGTCTCAAACTAGGACGTAACAGTTGTCCAGTACACCCAGCTGGTTTTCCAATGGTTCTCTAACCAATGTCACCTCATGATGAAATCCTTCATCCAATCAAACAAAATCCCCACAAAAGCAGTACTTGAAAATACAGTTTGTTGTCAGACATTAGGCAGTATTACAGCAACCCGCCGAGAATACTACCTGTAAACATTACAAAGTATTTCTTTTCAAATGGTATATTGCATACAGAAGGGAGGAATTACAAATGCTTAATATTATTCTCATCGAATTCATTTAGTTTTGTTGAATTTGTTAAATAATCATTTAAAGAAAGTATATCAGTGATATGATCATTTCAATTTTACTGAAAGCGCTTCGATCTTTATCAGAATAATTAAGACTTAAGTTTTGTCTACTTCTTTAATACATGCCTCGCTTACTTTATAAGCACTTTTTGCTAACTGTTTAGGAGTTTACACTTTTTTTCATTAACAGAGTGTCCTTCCGCTTCTACGAATTATTTTCTCGTAGATCGATTCATTTGCCTTTATTGTAAAATAACGGTAGTTGATCAGTGTATTTTAGAATTATGGATGTGTGTTCAGAAAACGAACCATTGATAGAGGCTGTTTTGCGAATGCTCTAGTTATACACTCTTAGTTTAGTAACAAGTTTAGTAAAACAGGCGTCAAAATTATTATGCTTTTGCGATTGACGTACCAAACCTCTTCATAATTCTTTTTCCGTGTGTACTTTGAAATTAGAATTGAGAATAATAATAATTACTTTATCCTAAACAATGTTTATATAGTGTACAGAATTTTCGTGCGTCGTTGGCACAGCATTAGGATGCTCGTCAATCATGTATATAGTTCGGGATTCCATCCCAGCCGACATATTCCATTACCTCTCTAAACCAGTAATAAAACTGGCAAAGAGGGAAGGTTGGTCATGAAGCTAGCAACCCCATTCTGTAAAAATAAACACTACTGCTACCGAAAATTCAAGCCTCTAGCTTGAAGGCGCTCTATTTTACACTGGGAAGGTACAGGAATAAAAAAATAGAACTTTTAGTGGAGTTTATCGCATGATATTTTCTCTTCTCCCAGGATCTTCAAGTAAAAGATTAATTGATAAAAGGTCGTGTGACATAGGCTTATCTGACTTGAAGCGCTTACTAATCCATTATGGTATCGCTTCTTTTTTCTCCCTCGAGAAATACACAACATTTAGTTGAATGCCAGTGGCAAAAAGTTCAAGAGTGCATTTTCTCAACCAAGGGTATAATTCAAGAACAGTTATCTCATGTACTGGGCTACGTTGCCACCAACGATTATACTTTTTCTCATGCTCAGTAGAAATTGGATTGAGGATTTCATCATGAACTGACATCAGTTAGAGAACCACTGGAAATCCTGGGAGTACTGGACAGCTGTTTCATCTTAGTTTGAGACTCTTCAGCAGTACTAGAAATCGTGAGGTTGAATAATACTAATTGAGGTCTTAAAATTAATAGTGTTCTCTGAGCTGGTTGGTTTCGTTGCGGAGCTTCCGTCGTCCCCCTGCAGGACAACATCCCCTTTCAGCGCAATATTTAGCATAAAGTGAAATGATTTTAATTTCTTCATGAGTGATATAATTGCGTCTCCCGGTAACTATCTTTACATATATATTGACCATTTTCTATCAGCTTGGATTTTAAACAATGTTTAAAAGAATCCAAACACACTTTAGCACTCCAGAGTTAAAAAGAATGGAAGAAAAATACCTACAAATGGTCTGAAAAAAGAAAAGTTATCCACAAAATTTCATCAAAAAGTTTTTAAAATCGAATCATAACACCAACAGAGAACCACCATCAAAGACCACAAGAAAATTTATCCTGACATATGTGAAAAATGTCTCTGAAATAACAGCTAGAATACTGAAACCGTTTGATATAGATATAGCACACTAACCAGTCAAATCGCTTAATTCGATATTATGCAAACCGAAAGACCCAACAGAAAAAGGAGATAAGATTAATGCCATTTGCGAAATAAATTGGATGAACTGTAACAAGCATTACATCGGCCAAAGTGGGCGTCCCCTTCGAATTACAATTCAAGAACACAAATCAGCCGTGAAAAGATTCGACATATATTCTTTCATATCAATGCATATAGAAAATTATGGACATCAATTTGATCGGGATAATGTCGAAATCTTAGACAGAGGAAACACCAAAAGTGCCAGGGAATTCCTAGAAGCCTGGTACTCGAACGAAAATGCAATTAACAAACACGTTAATATAGACGAAATATACCAACTAATAAAAAGTAAATCAGGTGACCAGAAAGTTTAAAATCCAAGTCAATAGAAAATGGTCAATATATATGTAAAGATGGTTACCAGGAGACGCAATTATATCACTCATGAAGAAATTAAAATCATTTCACTTTATGCTATATATTGCGCTGAAGATGTTGTCCAGAAGGACGACGGAAGCTCCGCAACGAAACCAACCAGCTCAGAGAACATTATTAATTGCAAATCATTCACCTGAGCTACAAATCTTCACTATTAGAAGTCATATTTCACTAGACTTAAAGAAACCGAATAAGAGAAATTATATACAGTATATTAATGGAGGTTTCTTAGCCCAAAATTTTTAAGCAAGCCGCCACTGTGACGCCGACAGAGTCACTGGAACGCATATCCTGTGTGCAGATACACTTTGAGATACACAGTTTAGGTATCACCTTGAGTATGAATTCGAAATGCATGAATGTAGCGACTACAATTGAACACCCTTACGAATCTATACCACTCAGCTGATCTAACATTTCACTAGTCTCTTCTTAACTCGGTTAATCGTTACATGAATATGTTGACACGAAGTACGTTGGTGTAATTCGTCTTCAATTAGGTTTTAACTAAAATAAAGATCTCATTAATTACATTTTTGTCTTATTTTAGCGACACTGTATGTTCCAAGACATGTCTACTGGTTGTATGGTGCAACATTTACACCAAGGGAACAGTTACATCAGATAATGGGTAAGTAGTTGGTCACTCCTTCATTTTCTAATCATGGCTGCATTTAACATTGTGTTATATATTTGACTGTTCGGCAGTAACATTAGACCTTAAACTCATTTGCTTTGAACCAAGCTTAAGACTAACCCATTTAAATCTCGTCATCTGACTTGAATTATTGGGATGTTATTCCTAAATCTCGTCTACTAGGTCTTTGAATAATGCTCACTACGAACTATGCTGCATTGTTTCATTTCTTGTCTAAGTGAATATATCACATATTGTCACGCTGAGTACTGAAGATGTGATCAGTTTTTCTGCAGTTTGTCCGTATGCGTGAAGTATCGGGCCATGAATAATGATAGTTAAGATTATAAAAGGATTATGGTTTATTTTCTGCAAATTTGTAAACGCACATTTGTAAAATTTATCAGCAACCATCGGGGTTTCTGTGAAGCAAGAATTTATATCAACTTCTATGGTAGGATGAAACTTTTTCCTGTTATCTGTCACGTCATTGCTCCTATCAAACGGTCTTAAAAGGAGTGCTGATCGTAGATCATTTCTGTCCGGAAAGAGTCAAAAATTACTGGAACAATTAACCACCGGCCGGATAAAAGTATTGATATCACTGACCAGTAGTCTCTCAGAACCACTTTCCTTGCCTAAATATCAAGCTAACAATCGGCTGTAAATATCGAATGACAGTTCATCTTTGATGTTAAGCTGGAAATGTTTTTTTTCGGTCAACATAATTTTTGGAAAACCCTTTAATAAGACTGTAGAATTAAGTCTTAACTGCTCTCGCAAATCTTCGTCCAAGGTAGGTAATGCGTGTCGCAGAAAATTTGCCAGCGTCACTGCGAGAACCGACGAATCCCCGTTCCAACTGAGCCTCAGAGTCTGGAACTTCTGCAGTTTCTCTTGTCTATCTGTGAGCCTGTAGAACTTTCACAAGGGCCTCTCGACGATCCTGTCTCAAGCCAATTCACCTTCAACCTCCCGGGCGTCGTCGTAGGCATCCTTCACACTACCAGTTTCTCCCTCTGCTCCCACACTCCAACTAGGTCGACGACGGCTTCGAAGTCCCTGAGGAATGTCTTCACATCTCCCTCCTCAAACACCTCTGGTAGAAGCAGAGACACCAAGTGTAAGGAAGAAAAGACCGATGAGGCTTGAAGATATGTTTATTAGGACACACTCATTTTAGGTACATAAATTTGATATATCATATCTCCAATGCTTGATTGAAACATCATTTGCAGATTGGTCGAATATCACCATACTCGATAACTTGTTGGATTATGCACAGCGTTTCTCCCACAGCTCTGTTCTCCGGTGTTCGAAACACATTGTTACTTTCCTGAATTCGTTTGCTGATATACTACTTATACTTGATTATAAGTAGCACTCATCACAGTATGATTCATAGAATTCCGTACTCTAATAATAGTTGAAATGCCCAATTATAGTATCAGATTCAATCCTGAAATATGCTATCAGAAACACAGTTGTTTAATTTCTAACATTTATAATACAAATCCTTTGTCCGCATATATGTATATATATATATATATGGACAACCTCATCTACATTATTTGCCAGTTCTCAGGTAGGAAAAGAGCGAAGACTGAGTATGATGCTATCACCCCTGCCGCATAAAGATCACACTCATTACTGTTGTAAATTCACAGTACATAAAAAAAGACAATTTATTCTCCACGAGACGTCTTAAGCAGGAATAAAAGGCAAGACAAAGAATGGATTACGAAGGACACCTGCAAGGTGATAAAGAACAGTTGAATGCTGAGGCAGAGAGCGTACCAGAGCAGAACAGAAGCTGAGAATAATCTTGAAGTGATGAAGATTTGTAGATTAGGCGGATGGTTTCAATGTAGTTGCTTTCTCTTAGCTAAGTTGCACAGCGGTTAGGACTCTCGCCGACCATGCACATGGTCCGGGGTTTGACCTCCTGCAAACGCACACCTGATATCTATGGTCGGCCTGCAAAATTTGGGCTACCGATATCACATGCTGAAAATTTCATACCTGTACCAAAAAGCACTGTGTGGAATCAAGCTGTAATCAAAATAAAAAGTAAAAAATTACGAAGCTTCCATTTTCTTTCTGAATAACATCTCAGTGCTTAGAAGTGAAAATGAGTACTAGGAAAGAGAAGAGACGCTTTTATGACACGCTGGCAACTGAAGGAGAACAGGTTGCAGGTAAGCAAGATCTTGAAAAACTATATCAGATAGTCAGGTCACTATCCGAAGAGAGGTCAGCACAGATGCAGTTAATCAAAGATAATGAAGGAGACATATTTATCAAACAGCTGGAACAGAGGAAACGCCTTACTGATCACTACAAAGGGCTCATCCAGAAATAACGGTAGTGACCATCAACCCTCGGACAAAAGTAAAAGTATCAAAGACTATAAGGTTACCAAAAGCCGGAAAACTAGCTGCACCATTTAAATTCCCTGAGAGGCATTGAAAATGGACCGACAGAGTATGGTGCACATGTTCATTCCACTACTGAAGAAAGTGCGAAAGGAAGGAAAGGTACCTGTGAATCGCAATAAGGACCATCTTGCCAAACTGTCAAAGAAAGGTGATTCATTCTTGTACAAGAACTAGTGAGACATTGTGACCTTGTCCACTTCAGATAAAATATTGAGCCTCAGTATTGGTGTGTCACCTACTGTTTCTTTCGAAACACAAGAAATAAACAATAATAATAATAAATAATATACCGAAGGGATTTTCTTACTTGTAACTAGCACTTAGATGAATTTCCCCTAGATTTATTTAAACGTTGTGACTCATAAGTGCCGCTAAGCTAACTCTTTAAGTAACGCTTGAGAAAAGAAATTAAACGGCAACTTTACTGTATTTGCAATGTTCAGAAGTTGAATGTCATGAACGGAAGGCCCCACGTCTTTGCACTCATCTGGTGGCGACCTCTCTTTGGCGTAAGAATATGCTCCGCTGAATAATTCTAAACAAGGACAGGACAGTTGTCCAGTGTCTCTGATCCTCTACGTGATCTTGACTAGTGACTGAATCTGCCTTAGGCAAGACAGTTTTCTAGAATGACGAGAAATGTTTTAAGTTTACCCTTAACTTGAGTAAATTCCTGTAGATCAGTGGAAGAATGTGCACTGAAATCTGATGGGAAAAGAAAACAGCAGAAATAATTCCTCATAGAAAATCCCCGTGTATATAAAACATACATGGGACTTTCAAGAATTAGTTTGTAGGGATTCTAATTGTTTCAAGTTAAACCACTAATTGATATCAGTTAGAGAACCATTGAGAACTAGGGAATACTAGACAGAGATTTCGTCCTTTTTCAGGACTCATCGGCATTGAACTGCATTCAGTCGGAAGGGAGGATGAAGTCCCGCCGATGATATTGGTCAGTGGTCGCGCTAAAATCACGAATTCGTGGAAGCTAGAATTCATGAGCTGGTCACTGAATCGGGTCCCAGTGGCTGATTCATGGGATTCCCACATTTAAGGAGGTGTTAATATAAAGCTTACATTTATACTTACTCCGTACACCTTTCTGATGATGAAGACTCCTGGACAACACCAACAGCAACAACAACAGATAACAGTCAGCATAAATGGGAGGAACCTGAAACAAAACAACCTCTTTTACCTACCCACCTACCTGGGAAGCATCGTTTCAACTACAGGCGGAACTGACGAGGATATCAAAGCAAGGATCGGGAAAGCAAGACAAGCTTTCATTACTCTCAAATCTGTGTGGAGGTCAACAGCACTCAGCATGAAAAACAAGATCCGGATTTTCAACTCCATTGTGAAGTCAGTACCACTTTATGGATCAAAGACTTGGCCAGCGCACCATGAAGAGCACTTCGAACAAGCTACACACTTTCATCAACAGGTATCTTCGCTCAGTGCTACTCAAGATCAGATGGCCAGAAAAGATCAGCAACAGGGATCTCTGGTAATGAGCGAACCAACCTAGCAGGAACCAATTGTGCGACAAATATGCATGCAGGAAGAAATGGAGGTAGGTGGATTGTCCATACTCTGAGAAAACCATCAATGACATCACACACCATGCGATCGCTTGAATGGAACCCGAATGGGAAGCAGCAAGTTGGTCGTCAGTGCGATAGTGACATGGAGAAGGTCATGTGAAGAGGAGACGAAAACATGTGGGCAGACGTGAAGCCAAGTGAAAACGTTGGCAGAGAACCGAACGCAATGGAGACGCGCGGCTGAAGTCCTTTATTCCTTTAGGAATTAAAAGAAATAATAATAATACACCTTTCTGCCGACTTAGTAAAACAATTAACATCACACACTACTGTTACTTTCTAAATAACGAATTTCAATAATGGAACTTATAGAATCAGCTTTGAGCTGCTTTAAGTTTTAATTTCATTATTACTCCATCCTTGTTTAAATGTAGTGTTCACACTTAGCATGGTGTTAAACATTTTCTATTTTGATGAATACTTTTAGCTGGTCGAGGAATGCAATTCCGTGTTTCTGGATTACGTGACCCAGTCCATGTAGCTGGTGTTTTCATCGGTGTCACTTTAGCCTCACCTTACATAAGAACATGGCCTCATCTGCTCTCCGGATTGTTGAATTCATCAGAAATCTCTGTATTCCGACCATTCTATTGGGTAGACAGACCGATACTTGAACATATTGGCTGTTTAATCTATACTCTACCGTCTTCCATTCGTTGGGGCAGTACAGTGATAATCAGTTCTTTCAGACAATATCCTTGGTCGCTGGCCAATCCACCATCGAAATCTGCATCGTCATGATGAACGGACTGCATACTATCCTCCGAGAAATAATTATTCGTTTTTCTTCATGTTATGTTATGTTACTTAGACAAATGCACACTAATCATTTTCGAGCACATGTATTGAAAAGAATAACTCACCACCTACTTACAACCTTCCCTACTCACACCATTTAAACAGAATACTTAGATTTCCTGTTGTACTCAAGTCATTTTCTATTTCTTTAATAGCCAAAGTTCATTGGTACTGTTTTTCTTTCACATTTACTATATATTTTGCTATTGAATTCACTTTGTCTTTGTCTTTGTCTTCCTCTCTCAAAGAGGTTCCCTAGAAGCGACAGACACAGTCGTTTTCTTTACTCCTTCTACTCCGTGTTTTACAGTTCCTGTGATATATTTTCCTATTAGTGTCGTCGGTTTGTTTGCAGTGTTCAAATTGTGTAAAATATTAACTTTTTCTAGTCAGATTGTGTATACCTTTAATCAATTTCATGTATGATTTCGTGTAAAAGATAGAGATTAGTAGAAATCTCATCTCCTTCTCCTCCTTCTCGTGTGTGTCGTTTTTTCATCTCACCTGTATGTTTGCACTCATCTCAGCACTCTCTTTCAAACAGAATAAACAGTGATACTGATTGATAAGTAGACACAGTTATTGGCATTTCTTCACTTCACTTCACTGCACACACACTGCTTGTTTATTTTTTTCGTTTTGTTTGTTTTCATCATTTTCCTACAGTCATGAATTTATTCTGCAGATTTGTATTCATATGAGGTGAAATAAAGTTGTTTTTAGAAAGCATTCGACTTCTCTTTATCTTTCTCATGAATTCTAATTTCTACCAATTCGTGATTTAGCGCGAGCCCAACCATTGTCGTTGGTGGGACGTCCTGTCCACACACGTGACATCTAATTGGATCTCACTGGTCATGACTTCTCACTAGAACTGACTCCAAGAAACTCCATCCTGTAGCAAGTCACTGCTAGCGAGCATCAGATTAATTTTCTATAGTTCTGCAGATTTGTATTCAGAAAAAGGTGAAATAAAGTTGTTTTTAGAAAGCATTCGACTTCTCTTTCTTCTTCTTCTTGTAAGGATAAAGAGGAAAATAGATTGAAAACTAAATTGAACAAATCTTAAACAGTTTTCGGCGTTATACTTTATTCTATTTCAAGTTTGACCACGGGCAACGTTTGGAAATCATGGAGTCCTGGACGGCCGTTTAGTCCCACAGATATTCACACCGAGAACCTCACCTACTAGGACTCAACTCAGTGACCAGCACTTGAAATCCAACTTATACTGTAACAACAGAAGACAAGGGCCAGACAACAGATTGTTTATCAAGGAAAATCAACACATATTTATAGGTATTTCGTAGGTATTTCGCCTCACATTTTTCATATGCTGCTTTCTCCCGACCTTCCAGCAGCATCCCAAGTAGCAGCCTCATCGCTGACAGATCTTGAACGCCACTCAACTGCGAAGAAGCCTCAAAGTCCTGCGCGAAGATCCATATGTCTCCATCAAAAACTGCAGGGCATAGGCTTTCCATTTGTCGGTAGGCAGCGACACCAAATGTAACAACAGAAGACAAGGGCCAGGCAACAGATCGTTTATTAAGGAAAATCAACACATGTTTATAGATTTTAATGTACATTATTGTAAGATTATTGTAAGTAAAAAATACAGTCTTTTGATTGGTTGTTTCTCACGGAAAGTTAACCTTGTATCATTTTGTGGCTGTGTCAGATCATCTATATGCTAACTGTATCCACCTACGCAGAGCCTTTGTTCTCATTTTCTCACCATCAATATTCGGGACATAAACACTGACGTCAATTACTGTCTACCAAATTTGGCTAGCAGCCAGCTCTCACCACAATACCATTTTGGCATATTAGTGAGGCTAGCACCAGGCAGTGTTACTGGCGGTAAGTATTCGTTCTCACTACTGACAGAGTGGATCCCACTGGTCACGACTTCTCACTTTAACTTCAGACAATATTGTCTTATAGCCAGTTACTAGCGAGCATCAGATTAATTTCCAAGAGTTCATTTGCAAGGATTTGATTTGTTACAGGTTTGACCACGGAATGATGTCAGTAAGAGAATAACTAAAAGCTGGAGTCCCAAACTAGAACGAATCAGCTGTCCAGTGATCCTTGGTTTTTCAATGGTGTTTTGGTTGAAACGAATCGAATCTCTGCAAACTGACGCTTAAAAATTTATTCTATTTACCCATTGCTCATTAATGACTGGTTTTGAGGATGAATATCCATGGAATTTTTATAAAACGTTGACTGAGTAAACTATGGATGCTTGGAGAAGAAAATACAAGGTAAATCTTTTACTCTAGAAGTACGGTGCTTAAGGATATCAACAACTACATAACGAAACCAATACCTTGTTTTACGTCGAACTTTGTGCTTCGCAAATCAAACAATTATAGCTAGTGTAGAACCAGTTTACCCAAATATCTAGCCAGAATTTGAGTAGTCTGAAGTAATTCAACGAAAGCTGAAGTCTTGAGTGCAATCAAGCTTCTGAAAGCTGGAAAAGCAGCTGGACCAGATGGAATACCCCCTGAAGCACTGAAAGCTGACCCAGAAACGACAGTAGATATGCTGACTCAATTATTGCCAATTACCATCAACGGGAGGGATTTGAAAGAGGTTACTTCATTCACTTATCTAGGGAGCATTGTCCCAACTACAGGAGGAACGGACGAGGATGTCAAATCGAGAATCAGGAAGGCGAGAAACACATTCATCAACCTGAAACCAATCTGGAAATCTTCGCCACTCAGCATCAACAACAAAATTTGGATTTTCAATCTAAACGTCAAATCAGTTCTTCTATACGGATCAGAAACTTGGCGGGTCACAAAGAATATTTCCAACAGCCTGTTGCAGACCTGTATCAACAGCTGTCTTCGCTGGTTCTATACTTAAGATCAGATGGCCGGCCGGAAAGAATCACCAACAAGAAACTTTGGGAAGAAACAAATCAAGAACCAATCGCCCAAGAAATATGCAGGAGAAAGTGGAGATGGATTGGACACTCGCTGAGGAGGCCGCTGGGTGACATTGCGCGTCAGGTCATTGCTCGAGTGGAACCTGAAAGGGAAGCGGCGAGTGGGACGTCCAAGGGTGACATGGAGGAGATCGTGTGAAGAGGAGCTGAAACAGTATGGACTAACATGGATGCAGGTGAAGAGTACAGGAGAAGACAGAAGCAAGTGGAGACGTGCAGTTGAAGCCCTATGTTCCACTAGGAACCCAAATGAATAATATTACAATAATGATAATAACAAAACCGAACTATACAGTGATACCTTTAGACCGTCACTCACTAGTCATGTCAATTCTTAGGAAATGTTCCGTGTGCTTACCGCAGTTTAAATACTAAAATCTCGTTACATTTATTGTGATGGTCAGATTTTCCATGAGTAACCTATTAACTTCAATACGATATCATGAACTAAATACATTTCACAGGAAAAGTTATCGCACGCTTTCAGAAAGAGTAATTATCATTTTGATAGACGGCTTCTCTGAAATTTACATTCATAAGTTTGTAGTTCAAGTATGTTAGATGGTATGTCGGACCGGAGTTAAAGGCAGCTGATAGATACGAAGGAGAAATGAAATAATACTGCACAACACAAGAAAGATTACGAATACTGAGGAATAAATAAACGAATCAAGAAATAAGATATTCTATCTGATTAACAGAGTACGGAGGGTGAGTATTCGAATTTCTTCTAAACATTGAAATTTATAAGTATGCATTATTTGAAATTTTACTGTACATAAGTATTTAAGCCTTATGTCTTTCCAACTGTTTCGTTACAATATTTAAAGAGCTTACTCTCTAACAATGAACCCCGGGGAAAGCTCACAAGTGCGCCCGATAAATAAGGTGAAGGTGTTTGGCTGAACAAGTGTACGTGAACTGGCAACTGCATAATCCTAAAATCCATTATTTCAAAATGTCTATCCTGGGATTTCAACATACGCTGACAGAAACTGCTAGAAATGATGACACTTTTGAATATAAGGTTCATTAAATGCGTTTTGTAACAACTTAGGAGGATCGGTAACATGGTTAATCATTCTGTAACACTGGTTTTTATATCACAATGCCTTTCTTTACTTCAGAGAAACGACTGTAAGGAGGAGAACCTCTTTACTTTACATATATTTCCCCTATTTAAATCTTATAAGTCATTCTGAGCGTTAAGTGACTCGAACCTGTGTCCCTTCCATATTTTACGATTGAATGCGACCCTAGTCCAGAAATTCAGTCAAAACACATTATCATCTTGTGTTTCATACATTTATTAACTTTATGGTCATGAGAATGACTTTGTTGCAAAGATAATTATCTCTGCTGCAACCTTTTTGTTCTTCTTCTCTATTGGAATATTTCGTCAGTTAAACGAAATGTTTAGAAAAGATACCTTGTTGGACGAGTTTATTATCCATATACGTTTTATATACATACAGAATTTTAGAAAAACTATATCTCAAAGGGAAACTTTAACGCTGAGTGATAATAATAGTAATAACAACTAATAAACAAACATATCTAAAAATCGACTGGAATTTAATCCTTGTTAGCACCACCCATTACTCAAATTTCCTCATGGGATATGTATCTCTTTTAAATATATTGTATAAATATACGTGTACAGACTTACGGCTTGCAATAAATTCACTGAAAGGTGTTTCGTCACTGAATTCCTTCTTTTTATTCTACTTTTTTTTATTTACAGCTTGATTCCACACCGTATTTTCAGTACAAGTGTGGAATTTTCAGCATGGATATCGGTAGCCCAAATTCAGGCCGACCATAGATATCGGGTGTGCGCCGGCAGGGGATCGAACCCCGGACCATGTGCATGGTCGGCGAGAGTCCTAACCACTGTGCCACTTTTGCATTGACATACTCATGTTAGAGGACCGAACAATGCAGATCACTTGAAAAGTCCTAATTGGCATGAACTGCTATGAATTAGGGTAAAAAAAGACTTTAAACAAAGCAAGAACTACAGTTTTTGCAGAATAAAATGGTACCATCTTTTATTTCGTCACCTTCTCGTCAGCTGCTTACAGGCCAAAGGCATTATTAAATATATCTACAAAAACAATTTTGACATACTTGCACAGAGTTCATTTTAAACAAAAATCAGTCGATCAGTATATGCATACAGTAATAATATAAACATACATGTATATATATATATATATATGTAATATTAAACACCATTCCGAACAATAATAATCATATACAATGAAAACTTTTCAGCATTATGCATTCAGATGAAAGAGAGATGAAAATATCCAGTTACCAGGGCAAAGAAAGACTGATAACCACTTCTTTCTGGAAGCATAAATCAGGTTTCAGGCGCTTGATGGAAATCGCTTCAGCAAACTTGAGGAGGATTGAGCTCGTTTGTTTATTAATAATTTTGAACGACTTTTGGACGTCCACCTCATGACCCGTGTCAAGAAGACTGAAGACTAAAGAAATTATAAGTAGTTACTAAGTTTTGAGTAGTATAATCACTCATACAGGCTGATTATGTTTAATCTATGAAAAAATGTTGAGTTTCTCTCTGTTATTCGTACGTCTTATCAAAGGACACCAAACAGTATGAAACCGAATTTGTGGACTTTCATCCGAAGACTTGTAACATTGCATTCCATGCAGTACTCGAAATTACTCTTGATTGGGAATCAGAATGGAGAATAAGCTTTTC